AATCGCCACCGGGGGCGATTTGACTTCGATTGGTGGCGAGTTTGTTGTGGTGACGAGTTGACCGGATACCCAATGAAAAGTAAGATGTTGTCTTATCTCCTCCACACGCAGCCCTTAGTCGGTATTTATTCGCCGGTCAAAACAATGACCTTATTTACATTGTAAGTTACCAAGCATCAAAAAACGGTTTATGTGGTTAACTGCTGGTCATATTAATCTCTCGGTCAGTCACACAGTCGGTTAGTAAGTCTTTCTCAAGTCTATTATATCTCCGCTTACCTTCTGCTTGAGTCTCTTCTGATGCAGATGTATTCTCCATGGTATGGACCCGATATATCGAGTAGTCTGGACAGAAGTTTCTTAATTCCTCGCTGAGGGTGGATCGATTGGTTACCTCAGTATCCACAGCCCACTTGCTGTCAATGGTAGTCGCCTCGTCGCTGCTGTTTTTCTGCCAAACAAGGAACATGTCGGTTATTTTATAGAAAGCTTACAAGCCTTACACACAGTCTTCCGACGCCACCTACGTTAGCAGTACACAGAACGATTGTCACATAGGGTATAACAAAGAAGAATGGGAAGATTTGAGGCTTCAATCCCCTCAAGTGCTCAGGATTTTATTTTAACTTTTAAGGCAAATTCTTCTTGAAGTAATTTCTTTCTATTTACGAACCATTCCCAATAAGGATAATTTGTTATCAGCGCACGGTCTGTAATAAGAAAGTCTCGATAAAGTGATGGCTTTTACGGCTAACGATTAATATTTAGAACATTTCACAGCGAACGGTTTACGCAAAATGGCGTTGAAAATAGGAAACATTTTTACGGTTCACTAACAGTTAATTACTTTCGGCGGGATTTTACGGCCAACGGTTGACCCAGTTGAAACTTTCTAATAAAAAAAAAAGCAATCAAATTCCAAAATGGCGACGGTGAGTGCCCATTGATAGCTTTACATGTCCTTACCTCAGCTTGGTCGAGATCATTTTCCAGCTTACTTGGCGGAGGCAGCTCACGGGAAAGAGGCAGAAGATAACAGATCTTTTTGTCTGGTACCATCAACATGCTCATATTCTGTGTTGAACGCAGAGAGAAAAAGAATAAAGTAAGATTTAACCATTTTATATCGAGGAAATTTTGGGTGAAATCTTTCTTCTTATCCGCTTTATGCCATACAAAGAGTGATTGTTTGTTTTTTCTGATGCACCCGTTTACTCCGACCGGAGCTTCATAAAAACAGACCAGCCATTCATTGATCAGAAGAATATAGATAATTCCATATATTGATGACCAAAGAGCCCAACTAAACTGAGCTTAAAATTCGATCAATAATGATAAAATACTTTAGTAGCGTTGTCTCATTAAAAAGAAAACGCCAATAAAGGCTCATAAAGAACAAACTTACCGCCTTGAAGTCGTGCAATATATTGCTTCCATCCACGTCATTATGAGCAGGAACTGTAAACAATTCTGTTTGCTTGTCTCTGTTCACCTGAATTTTCTCGGTGTACTGTGTTCCAGATTCTTTAAATTGGACGTCATAATCCGAAACCTGAGAGATGCGGTGAAAAAGATATCAGTATGAATTATGTTTGTTTTACTGAGTTATTGCACAACATCGTGTTAACTAATCTGATGATGGAATATTCTTTCACACTCTATCACGTACTGAAACAACCCTGATAAGGAGGCCGTTTTTTGCAGAGAGAATATCGTCAGCCCGTTTTGTACCATAAATTCTGAGTACTAACCTTCTTAGAAGTGGAATCTGTTGCTGATATTAAGTTTGTTGAGGCACAAAGCAAAAGCAAAATCAAGGCCAGATTATCTCTGATGAGGACTGATTGCTAAAACCAAAAATATAAAACAAATATAAATGTAATTCCTAATCACAAGACAAAATAATATTGATTAAAAAGGGTAAAAAAACAGTTCGAACTCATTAAATTAAGGTAACGTAAAGCTGCCTGCGTTGTTAAAACTTCTGTCAGACCTGGGGTGTTCCAAATGCGACCTGATTGTGACCAATTTCCATTTACTTACGTGTAACATAGCTGTTGTCTCCTTTGCTTGGGTTTCTTCTTGTTTCTTAATTTGTCGACCTTCCCTTCGTGACTGTAGCTGATCTCTACTGCAGCTTTGGTCTGCTTTGCTTCATTTTATACTCTTCTAAATGCTATTCATATGCATTATTAATGGCCATGGATATTGCCGTTTCAGCGAAAGTTCCTTCAAGTCTTAGTGTTTAAATTTGGTTTTTCTAGAAATCTGGTCTTCTAGGAAACACAGACATAGAAACACCATTTCTCTGCACGGAAGGGAACTGTTTACCAAGGTTATGGTTAGGATTAACTAAAAAAGCTAAAGTAGTTTATCGTCATCCAAATGTTAAGACTTGCAAGCATCATATTTGCACATACAGTCTTTGCTTCTATCTTAAATCTCCGTAACTCATAAGGATGTGTGAGTTAAAGTTCCTTCCTGGTTTTATGTTTTTGTTTATTCTTCCGTTTCAGTAAAATTGTACCGTCGCCAATTGTACTCTCGACAGAGTTCTTTTTTACTGCCGCGCTAATTCTTCATGTCATTTTAGTTCTTTTTTTAATTCATAATTACTGGAATATTCATTCGTCCGTTACAGACGGAAGCTCTTTAACGGTGTGATAAGGATGAGGACTACCCAGAAATAATTGGCCTCCCTTCACTGTAGTTTTTCTTCCGTTTCAGCAAAAGTGCATTGTACTTTGATTATTAACAGAAGGTTGTTTTTACTGCTGTTTTAATTCAGCATGTAATCTGGCTCTGCTTTAATTGTAGTTTAAATCACGCATTGGATTATCCAGTCGTCCGTGACTGGTGGAAGCCCGTTAGCGAAGTTATGAAGACGACAAAGCTAATTAGAAATAGTTAGAAAGATGCTGAGGAGTCTTTCAAATAGAAATAACATAGTACCCACGGTGTAACATAAAAGACTAGAAATCATTTCAAACTGATTGAAGATTGGTGCAAAATAGGCATCGAAGAAGTAAATGAGTTCTCATTTTGAGACTTAGGAAGTCAAGTGTGTTTACTCGAAAGAAGTCCGACTCTCCTGCTGGGATTTTGTTGTGTTGATGTTGCAAACATTTGAAGGGCATTACCTGTATAATAATGAGGTTTTGCTGTGGGCAATTAACGTCTGAGAGCGAACTAAACATTCTGATTAAAGTAAATAGTAGATGTGGGCTAAGTAGCAACCGTCAATGTTAAAACGGGATTTCAGTAGTCAAGCACGATTAATTATTACAAATATGACACATGAGATCTGGAAAGCGCGATGCTTTTGTGTCTCAATTCACTCAATGAATTCGCTTTCTTTAATCGTTTCGAAAAAATGTAGCTCGACATTTAAAAAAATATATTTTTTTAAACTACTTCTCTAATTTACCTTATAATTCTGGATTTGCATTTTAAACTTCATGTCCTTCGGAATATCCAATCGACTGCGTCTGTCAGAATCCCGTTCTCAGTTTCCATATCACTTCGGCATAAACGTACCATTCTTTCAAAAAGTCCGGCTATTTGGACTCCCCAGGCATTAATTTATCGCTTACAATCGCAACTTGTGCAATGAATGTGCTGCAACTGTTTGCAACGTCAACATGTGTAACACTTGTACCTGCCATACTTCCCTTAAAGAAAGTTTCCACGAGTTCTTTACAAAGTGAAATTATTTACGTCCTCCACACCTTTTTATGTGATAGTGTCCCACATTTTCGAGATATTTGTCCAAGTTTGTTGCAGTTTGAATTATGTATTTGTACTTAATCCTCTTTTTCCTATCTAATTTCGCTAATGACTTTATGCCGAGTGAACGCATATGTTTACTTTGGATTATTCTTTTCGTTAGCGTTAATTGAACCCGCAGGACATGGCCCAAGCTATAAAATTTATTTGGCATTTCAGATATCAACAACTGGTAAAGAGCAGGATTAAATATACGAATGGTCAAAGATTTCCTTAGCTAGGAAGTTTTAAGGGATAAAGTTCATTTCAAGGGATAAATTAAGTTCAAAATAAGTCCTTACCCTGAGGGTGTTTGATTTCTAAGTAATCACTTTCATTCAAACTGAATGTCCACTAAAAGATGAAACCGCAAGAAAACCATATTTCGTTAAGGTGTAAAACAAAAGCTTGCAGTGAACGCAGATCTGTACCTTTGATTAATATTAAATTTCATCTTGAATCTATTGCTGACATCAAAACGTTAAATTTTATAAGCACTATAGACGCTAACACAGTTATGTCTCAGGGCGCGGCAAATATATGAATTGTCATAATTTACCTGAACGCATCAGTTTGAAAGGATGAAACTTCTATCAGGTAATCTGAAGTGCTTTGAAATACACGAGAAGCCGGAGGGATGAGTTATTTCTCAATCAGATCAGTACAGACTTCTAACAAACAAGGAAGTTTCATAAGTTCATGTGAGTGTCTGATTAAACAGGAAGCCCTGAGAGTAGGAGAGTGCAAGATTTAAAGAAGAAGAAAGTAGAAACACATTGTGGCACAAATAAACTATCAGTATCGCTGCGAGATCATTAATATTTCTATTTCGTACATAGTGTGTATAGGTGTCAAATCAGCACTTGAAAATATGAAAATGTAGTAAATAGTTATGTCAACCAATACACGATTCCCGCTTGCAATATCTAAGTTCCCTTCCTCAGACACCCAGAGCAAATTAGCGTTGGCTATATGTATCTTTATTAGCATATTTACCTTCCATGACTTGTAAATTTTGCTAAGTAACTCTCCCAAAGATGTTTTGCCTTCTTTAATTTCTGTTAGGTTTTACATTCGGTACTTCCGCTTAAGCAATGTTTCTCCAAGACGCTTACAAAAGTTGAAATTTGGGAAAAGAAACAATCGCGTGCAGCACGTTTTCAAATCTGCTAAGTCAATTAATATTTATGGAATACTCAATCGTGCATGGCAACTGGGATCCCAGTTTTAATGGTTGAAACTCAACAATTACCTACTACATCTTGCATTTATTTAAGCAGAATACCTAGTCTGCCCTCGCCGTTAAAAAAAAAACTTCTTATTTCTGTACGATGAATGCGCTGCAACTGTTTACAACAGCAACACAACAAATCCGAGTAAATAAGCCGGTCTCTTCCGTGCAGAGAAACCCGTTAAACGTCCCAAAATGAGAATTCATATCCGTCTACTGTGTCTATTTTTGCAAGATTTTTCTATCACAATGTTTTCTAGTTTTTCATTTTTCAGACTGGCTACTATGTCAATTTTTTACAGGAACCCCTTCGCACCTCTAGCTATTTCTAGTCAGCTTTCTCGGGCTTCAGCCAGTCACGAATGATTGGATATTCCGATGAATAAAATATGTTTTTAATTGAAAAGAGCTCAAATTACCAGCTGAATTAGCGCAGCAGCAAACAAAAACTCTGTTGAGAGTGGAAGTACATGCAGTTTTGCTGACACGGAAGAAAAACAACAGCATAATAGTTGGTCTTCTCATCTTCATCACTCCGTTAACGAGCTTTCGTCTGTAGCGGACGAATGAATATTCCAGTAATTATTAATTAAAAAAAAGAAAAGAACTAAAATGATATGAGGAAATAACACGGCAGTAGAAAAAAAAAACAGCCGATACTTTAAGTACAGTTTTACTGAAACAGAAGAAAAACAAAAACATAAAACCAGGAGGGAACTTCAACTCACACATCCTTATGAGTTACGGAGATTTAAGATAGAAACAAAGACTGTCTGTGCAAATATGATGCTTGCAACTCTTAACATTTGAAATACGATGTACTACTTCTAGCATTCTTAGTTAATCCTAACCATAACCTTGGTAAACAGTTCCCTTCCGTGCAGAAAAATGGCGTTTCTTTGTCTGTGTTTCCTAGAAGACCAGATTTCTAGAAAATCTAAGATTAAACACCAAGATTGAAGTAACTTTCGCTGAAACGGCAATATCCATGGCCATTAATAATGCATATGAATAGCATTTAGAAGAACATAAAATGAAGCAAAGCAGAGTAAAGCAGCAGTAGAGATCAGCTACAGTCACGAAGAGAAGGTCGACAAGATAAGAAACAAGAAGAAACAGAAGCAAAGGAGACAACAGCTATGTTACACGTAAGTAAATGGAAATTGGTCATAACCAGCAGGTCGCAATTCAAACACCCCAGGTGTTATAGATGTTTTTACAACGCAGGCAGGATTACCTTATCTTAACTTAATGAGTTCGAACTGTTTTTGTCCCTTTAATCAATATTATTTTGTCTTGTGATTAGGAATTACATTTATATTTGTTTTATATTTTTGGTTTTAGCAATCAGTCCTCATCAGAGATAATCTGGCGTTGATTTTGCTTTTGCTTTGTGCCTCAACAAACTTAATATCAGCAACAGATTCCACTTCTAAGAAGGTTAGTACTCAGAATTTATGGTACAAAACTTGCTGACGATATTCTCTCTGCAAAAAACGGCCTCCTTAGCAGGGTTGTTTCAGTACGTGATAGAGTGTGAAATAATATTCCATCATCAGATTAGTTAACACGATGTTGTGCAATAACTCAGTAAAACAAACATAATTCATACTGATATCTTTTTCACCGCATCTCTCAGGTTTCGGATTATGACGTCCAATTTAAAGAATCTGGAACACAGTACACCGAGATAATACAGGTGAACAGAGACAAGCAAACAGAATTGTTTACAGTTCCTGCTCATAATGACGTGGATGGAAGCAATATATTGCACGACTTCAAGGCGGTAAGTTCTTTATGAGCCTTTATTGACGTTTCCTTTAAAATGAGTGACAACGTTACTAAAATCTTTTATATTTTATTTATCGAATTTTAAGCTCAGTTTAGTTGGGCTCTTTCGTCATAAATATATGGAATCATCTATATTCTTCTGATCAATGGCTGGTCTGTTTTTATAAAGCTCCTGTAAGAGCAAATGAGTGCATCAGATAAAAACAAAGAATCACACTTTGTATGGCAGAAAGCAGATAGGAAGAAAGATTTCACCCAAGATTTCCTTGATATGCTTTTAATGGCTAAATCTTACTTGATTCTTCTTCTCTCTGCGTTCAACACAGAATATGAGCATGTTGATGGTACCAGACAAGAAGATTTGTTATCTTCTGCCTCTTTCCCGCGAGCTGCCTCCGCCAAGTAGACTGGAAAGTGATCTTGACCAAGCTGAGGTAAGTACATGTAAACTTATCAATGGGCACTTACCGTCGCCTATTTTAGAATTTGATAAAAAGTCAACATAAAACCTGAGCACGTAGGAGGATTGAAGCCTCAAATCTTCCCATTCGACTGCGGCGTTATGCCCTATGTGAATCGTTCTGTGTACTGCTAATGTAGATGGCGTCGGAAGACTGTATGTAAGACTTGTAAGGTTTCTATGATAAAGCAGACTAACCGAAATGTTCTTTGTTTGGTAGAAAAACAGCAGTGACGAGGCGACTACGATTGACAGCAAGTGGGCTGTGGATACTGAGGTAACCAATCGATCCACCCTCAGCGAGGAATTAAGAAACTTCTGTCCAGACTACCCGATATATCGGGTTCACACCATGGAGAACACATCTGCATCCGAAGAGACTCAAGCAGAAGGTAAGCGGAGTTAGAATAGACCCGAGACAGACTGACAAATGGACAGCGTGACTGACCGAGAGATTAACGTGACCAGCAGTTAACCACATAAACAGTAAAGTTTGGTATCTTACAATGTAATTAAGGCCATTGCCTTAACAAAATATCGACTTAGGGCTGTCCACGGAGGAGATGAAACAGCATCTTGCTTTTTATTGATATCTTTATGGGGTTACCTGTTGGTGGCCCTGTTAAAACCGTCTTAAAGCGAATTCCAAATATCATTTTTAATAAAATAGCCGTTGCTGTCGAAAAACGTAAACTGTTGTTAATGTTAGGAATACCATGTATTATTACACGACTCGGGAATTCAGAGGGCCAATAACTAAAATCAACCAATCAAAATGCTCTATTTCCGGTCAATATTCTCTCAGTATTGGACCAGGCACTGTCCCGAATGGTCCCGAATGATATCGAACTTGTGTCCCTTTGAATTTCAGTCGTATAATAAATCTCTTATTAACCAAGCTTGCTCGGGACCGTAGTGGAAGAATATCGGCCCTCGGTCTTTTTTCTCTCAAGACCTCGGGCCGATATTCTCCCAGTACGGCCCTCGCGCTTGGTTAAGATATATATAGTAACAACGCAGTTGTGTTCACCATTTTGTGCGAGATCATCCCCCAGCTGCGCCATCCTACGTAAGTCATATATTTCCCCCTTTCCAGAAAACTCCAACCCTAACCCGTGCTATAAAAATTTCCTGCTATGAAAAACCATTATAATACTTTACAGATTAAGCCCCACATACAATTCATGGCGAGTCGAAGTCAGTGTTGTATTTTTCCCCAAAAGTTAAAATTAAAGAGAAATATGTGACACGAAATGCTCCTCAACATATAACTACAGGAATGCTATCGAAGTCCCGCCATGAATTTAAATGACAAAGCATTCCTAAAAACATTTTCTCTTTCAACAGGAGCAAAACATCGAAGTCGTCGATCATACTGGCCAATTTACTACTTAAGAGTGTGTCCAGGTGGACGAGGCTCTTTGAGTTACTCCGACCGCTCCTGTTGCAGTAGGGTTGGTGGATACTGGCAGATACGTTACAGAGTTTATTCGCGTACATGCTACTCTGTTCGCTCTTGTTACAGGTGGTGGTTCTGGTATACCTGTCGAACACGGCACTACGTAAATTATGTGTATTGTTATGAATATAAATGTAGGGTCTACTAAAACTCTACTAGGAAATCTAGTTCTTTTTATTTTAAACACAGTTTTATATTTTCCATGGTGCCTTTTCGCAAAAGTGTTTTGAGTGACTCAAAAAAGCGTAAACACTAATCCTTTCAACAAAATGACTCCATTCCATTCAAGGCCTGAGAAGAAATCGTGATCTAGATCGGTTGAGAAACAGTTGCTTCCGATGATATATTTTTTTCTACCACAAACTTCATCTGGATGAACCCCATATTAGCACAGGGACTGGGATACCTGACAAAATACAGTATCAGACGATTATGAATTCCGTTTTCTCTGTGCCAAATAAAAAGAGCTTGATTATCCTTGTTCTCATTTCATTACTCCTAGTTTTTACCTTTCCATGTAGCTATGCTTTATTAATAACGCTGCTTCAATTTCCCCCGTATTAGTGGATGCTGTTACTACGCCATTAAAAATTCGGAAGCCAATTTTAGAGATCTAGAGACAGCCCCTGACTCAACTATCAAGGCCTGTGAAAGTCCATTATGAGTCTCTCACTCGTTCAGAACACCTCTTCGAAATACTGTGCAAGAACGTTTTACAAAATTCTGTTGAAAAATATGAGAACCTGCGCGTGAACCTTTGTGACACTAGAAAAGCTTTCGATGGAAAGTTTTGTTTTTATTTTCCTCAGAATAAATAGTAGGATATCAAACTGGCAGTTAAACTGATTGTTTGTGCATTAATTTTTTTAATGCCCAATTATATAATTACTGATCATACGAGCCAATTCACATGACCTGACCTCCTGGTATGGAAAAAGAATTGGTTACATCAAGACATCGCTCAAGTTAGGATGTAGGTCAATAAAAGTTAAATTTTTTTAGGTGAGAGAAAGGGTTACATACAGTTACCGGTTGCTTGGCCTTTAAACAGTACCTTTACATCGTGTAATGAGTGTTGGATGGAGCAATAAGTTCCAGTGGAACTAAGTCGATTACAAAGTAGAAACATTATGCGTGTATTTGGTGAAATAAGGTTAAATAAAATAAAAAATCGGGAGTGTTGACTTTGTTCAGGATATCTCATGGAAATTATGATTTCGTATATTACACCAGTATATGAAATATAACAATTCAAACACCAGCATATGAATGATTCTCTCGAGATCAACGACGTTTTCAACTTTGATCAATGTTCGAGATGCATAGAATGAGCAGAAGACTAACATTCGAATGAATGAGAATCCTAAAATTGCCCGAGATACTAAGATAAATCACGAATAAAAGAGAATTGTTTAAGTGTGCAAGATACTAACCTAACAATCGAATAAAAGAGAATTCTAAAAATGCGCCAGACAGTAACGTAACTAACAAATCACAATCCAACAGGGCCGTACCGACAACCGTCAAAATGGAAAAAATAAACCAGCCGTCAAAGTTAGCCCCCTCCCCACCCTCATTAAGACCTTCTTGACGGGCGGTCGTGCAGTACGTAGTCTCCTCTCGCAGCCGTTCTTTGTCTCGGGATCCCTGTGTCCCCCACCCCACAAACGTCTGCTCGTGTTGACCAAGCATTACATGCTCTTTGTTTCCTTCAACCAATGAGCGTTGAGCAGGGAACATCTCTCAAAACTTCGCCAAATTTCATGTTTGTAGAGCTAAATGTCATTTATCAATTTTTATTGCTGATACCCCGAAGAAAGTAACTTGCAGTAATTTATCTGGATGTTTCCTGTGTACGTCAACAGTTTCGACTAAAGAAAGAGTTAGAATCTTCGGAAGATCGGCTGATGTAGCAAGCGTCGTAAGTTTAGCACTGGGTGTAAACTTGGAAGCTTTCCACATTTATTTGAATTCTACTTTATATATATGTCTCAAATGCTACAGAAAAGGTGCCAAGATTAAGAAATTGGGAAAAAAAAACATTAACTGAAAGCTGGCTATGATTCCATTCAAGATCACCGGATTAAAAGACTTCAACCATCACTTGACAGCGACTCGAACGCAAAGCGACCTTTTGTAGCGAAAGCTCTCGATTTCACCGGCCCTANACCTACTCGACCCGTCAGTCCGATAATCGCAGAGAAACAGCCGCATGTTCCCACGCACTGGCGAGGTGAACATATTATGAGCCTTCCAGATTTCGAAAGGCGGCACTCTGATTGGTCAATCGGCTGGAATGGAATGTTTGGTCAACACGAGCAGCCGTTTGTGGGGAGGGAGACAAAGGGATCCCGAGACAAAGAAAGGCTGCGAGAGGAGACTATGCAGTACGCGGTAACATAAATTTTCTGCGCAACCGGAACGCAAGATTCCAAAAATGGTGGCCACGAACTCCAATTCAAATCACTTTAGTGCATGGAATGGAACCTAACTGGAATCTCCATAAACCTAGCTACCTCTCGTACTCTCGCCTTCTACAATAGTGTATCTATCCATGTGCAGACGGAAACACTTCACAGACAATACAGAACTCATTGAAGACTATAATTACCGCAAGATTGTCGAATCATGATGGGTAACTGATCGACATTGTGAGTTGTAGGATCAAGCAAATGAATGATCTCTCGGTTGCACTTCTTCGACAAAAGGACAGACTCGAAGATACAAATAGTACTGTCATTGTTCTTCAAAAGGCATAACGGTCCAGTTGCAAAGACGAACGTGCCATTGCATCAGCCGTAAAAGAAAATCTGTCGAAAACGTATGATCCCAAATATTTCGCCTTCACTCGTAGACGAGCTTGAGGTGCGCACTAGAGGGTGACAACTCCCCATTTCATCACGCCCGGTGAGTAACAGATAAGTTTACAGATGCTTCGGACTCGATTAGTTATCCCCAGCATATTCGGGAACTTTCACTCAACGGTTCCCAGGAGAGTTTTACTTAGAGGAGAATGGTTGGTGAGTAAGTGTGTGAATAATTTTTATTTGGTGTCTGTTTAAGTGAGTTTCCTTGCACGGTCTTGCAAGAAAACACCAAGAATTCAAACTCACATGTACATCAGTTTTTTTTTGTTAATATTATAGCTATTATTTCAGCCTTTTCGGATAGATTGCAACCTCTGTTTGGGAAACTGAGTTGCATAAATTTCGAACTCATTTGAATCTGACGGGTCAGAATTTATTTACTTCAAGATAGAAAAAATTGAACAAAGACGAGAAAACTTATCATTTAACGTTTAATAGCGATTTTCAATGGGAAGTAATTCACAGTTGACGTTGGAAAAATTTCGAGAAAGATCGGTTTGAGAAATGAAAAAACTCTACTCCCACATGTTTCTAAAACTAAGATAAAAAAAAAGATCAATCAGCACATACCATAATAAGGAAGCATATGACTGGCATCATGTGTTTTGATTTGCAAATGATCA